GTGTAACAGATTTAACATAAGTAACATACATGTTCATTACAGCACATGTATGCAATGCATTGTGGGTGAGAATTCCCTATATTATATACAGCTTGTATCCCGCTAGAAACTGACTAAATCAAATTTCAATGTCATGGGTTTCCACAATAATAGAAGTCGTGTCAATAATATATGATTTTTTCATCCGATTTCACGGAGCAAAAATTTGAGATCAATAAACAACTCCCAAGTAGAAGTCAGTGTACAAATGCCATTTTTTATCATTCAATTTTTTTATGACACTTCAGACTCAAAAAACGAACGACTGACAACAATTTACAAAACAAATTCACAAGAATAAAACAAAACAACTGCATAGTCAAATCAGTAAGACAAAAATGTATGGACTCAATGTATACTCACATAATCACTGAGTAATGTATGGGATTTGTGATCGAGTACTCATTCTTAACAATCATGCACAAAAAAGGCATTTCATATTCGCGTTTTTGAGTAATCATCTCCGCTTCAAAATGAACGTATCCTACACCCTTTGCGTTTGGTTATCAAAGATTCTTGTAACATCGATAGGCTAATCTATTACTATTGCAAGTGATCGTAACCTTTCGCGTTTAATATCTTATTTCCTCAAGTAAATTCTCCAAATTTCGAAATATTACATACATCATATTTTATATTATATGCATCGCCCGAAATCGACATGAAATGGAATGGAATGGAATTACCGACCCCTGCGGTAAAACAATATTGACAATTTAATTACAGTCTCATCAAGAATAGAATTGCTATAGTCTCGTGTATCAGTTTTAGATATCGTGTCATTATTGGATTACAGGTCAGTTTCAACCGGTACATATATCCCTGTCTTTGCATCAGTCGGAGTACAGCGATAATTTTTTGTGAGTGACGAAAAAAAAAAATATTTAACTAATTTTAACATATGTCATTGCACAATGTTTGCATAATTTCCTCACCGATATTTCTTATTTTCAAATTTCATTGATCGGAAATGTACTTTGCAAATAATTGTCTACATCCACTGGGCTAAATGTGCTTTATCGCTTTATTTCATAAAATACACATTTTCACCATCAATTTAGATTCACGGTGAGGGTTACTTTGAGGTCATCAGCTCAACATTGGACATGAACTCATTATGACGAAAGACGTGAGCGAGCCTAATTTAATTTTCGCATTTGTACGTACACTAGCAATTACCTTTGGCATATCTGCGTATCATTATTTTTAAACAAAAATAACAAATTTACGGTTTACTATTCATACTACACTTTATTTGTTGCAAACAATTTGATAATAAGCACATTTAGTTCTGGAAAATTGCCTACGTGGCCAATTTGCGATTTTCTTCTAATACAATATTGAGTGCACTGTTCCCTCGGTACCTTGACCTACTTTAGTTAAATGCTGCAAACAAAATGATTCTCAGATGTGTCACAACATGACAGTTCAAAAGATGATTTGATCGGTATATGAATATAGGATCTCTCTGTGTCAATGTTATGTGCGTAAGTTCTCTAGTAATAGACGTATTGTGTTATTGAAGCAATAAGTGTGTATGTACGAGTGTATAGCCAATAAAAAACTGCTCATCAAATCTTAACAATACACGGTACAAATATGTTCTGAGTCTGACGGGATTAGCTAACGGGATTTTAGGATAGATTCCTGTTCAGTATTCGCTTACACTTGCCCGATATATTTGTTACAAATTCACCAAAAAACTTGACTTGACCGTTATTTTCATGTTTTACCCTACAAAATCTTTCGGCGGGTAAAATTCGTCTTCTGTTTTAAATTCGCCGAACGCCAATGTCAATAGAAAGGATTTGCCCAAACTAAGCACAACCCGGTATTTGTCTTTCATCGACTGATCCTGATAAATGACGCTATTAGCTTCGACATTTTGTACGTTGACCAAGTCGATGTCCTGTGACAATCATATTTATGTTTAAAGGGTATCATCACTTAAATCGATGATGTCATCTTCAATTTCTACTTATTGAAGGAGAATAGCTGCATACTATGAGTGTATGTCATCGGAGTGTGTGTCCTATTGACCGTTAGATCAATGATACTTATGTTCGTTTCAGTTCATTTGTGTTCTGGTAGTCCATTTATCGAGCTATACTCCTAAAGTAACATACAATCTCTCAAAACAGGAAGTGGTGTGTTGAATGAAGCATTAAATTATTCAAATCATCGGTGTTTTAAAGCGAGTGTGTAATCACCTGCGCATGCGTCAGATGGGCATAGCGTGTCATTGTTTACAAACTAGCGTCTACCCATAAGCTTTTGCGTTTTTAGCGTGCGTTGTTATCGTCGCTTGGGACTCAATTCCCGCGCGTGCGCAGGTGACGACATTCCCGCTTTAACTATTGCATATATACACAGTCAATCCTAGTAGAGTGACTGTGATATCTATCTGGATCGCTTATGGCCATCTAAACCTTTTAAACGCGAAATTATTCCTGCCTACGTTGTCTTTGAGTTGATATACTTCCGCTCACTTGATTGATTGCGTTATCTCGAAATACTGAAAACCAGAATTTTACCGTCACTTTAGGGGAATGAAAATAATGTATACAGCGCCCCCAGGGAAGAGTAACTAATTCGTTGAGAACATATTTCTTATTCTTGACTTCTGGTGACACCCTATTTCATACCCATGTGAGCGTTTTTAAAATTTCAAATTTCGACCTCAACAAATTGAAGATTGTCGGAGATGATTATTTTATTTTTGTGTCGTCTATATCTATTGTGGATGAATTGATTTAATGGTATTCTTAGCAATTAACAACACATAAGGTCATGAGAAATTAGCCCGATCAAGTCTCTGAAATATATTTTCTGGGAACTAACTTACAAAGCATTAACAATTAGAAAGCCTCATTTGAGTCGAACCATAGACACAATACGAAACATCGAATAAACCTGTCAACAAACCTATCTCTGATTGGCCTGACTGTTAGGTGTTTAGGGTTGGTTAACCAATCAGGCACAATCTTTTACGTAGTTTTGCATTGCTCGAAAGTCTTAGTCCTAGAAAGCGAAGGCTCAGAACACACACACAATATACAATCAACATAATCGATTGAGTGGTGGGCATAACGTGACCACCAACAGAAGAATAAATACTGTACATTGAATTGCAGTTCAAGCACAGTTCAAGTTATTGTCTGTTCGACAATTCACTGGACAGCATGCATGAAGCATGGACGTACTAATAGGTTCTAACCCCTAGAGAGCCGACAGTAAGACCTGCGCTCAGGGACACACGACAACTTTGCCAATTCCCACTGTGGTTCACGAACCATTATATTTGACACTTGTCACGCTGATCGACAACAACAGTACCTTCGGTGTAAAATCGTCGTGACTCGCTGAGAGATGAACGAGCGATAATAGCTATAACGGTAGACTTTTGTTTGCACGCCATACGGGTGTAGCGTCGTCGAAGTGATACAATATCCTAACAAACTATTTGCGGCAGTGTGGTGCGGCGAGGCGATTTACAAACACTAATAGTTTCAGAACACAAAAGGAATTATAATAACAAAACAATGATATTTTGATAATGTGATTGAAGTAAAGGGATATAAGTCGAGGTAATACACATATTAAAACTAGCCATTGAGAAACTCTCAGCTTGTATTTTAATATATGACGAATAAAATGTGGATGTACCAGTTCTATGCTTTGAACAAAATGGAATTGGATCCCGACACGGATCAACTTTTGTTGGTGTGCTTGTTTGTGAACCGGGAAACAAAATTGCTGCCAGTCGATCATCTTGTATTATTAAATGTTGTCGATGTGGTAAAACACAACTGCTTGTAAATCAAGTTTGGATCTAATTGGATTACGAGAATTTGAGATACATGTATACGCAGAACAAAAGTGCTTCTGGTTAGCCATATAGCATAATATAGAATATCGATAAAAATAAACTTACATCAATGCGAAATAATATAGTTCCTCTGTATCATGTCTGAATAAACTTAATTATTGTATTAGTAAAAAGTATTTATGACATTCAAAATCGCCGCCAGTCGGCCACCCCTCCCACAATCAGATATCATAATGGCTATGTCTCACTTTGCCAAAATTCTAAGTTTGAATAGTATCGGTCAGCACAACTTGAAGATAAAGCTCTAAACCTATAAAACTGTCGGGGGAGGGGGCTATTTAGTTATGCGTATTACCACGCTCCAGTTGTTGTGTTCTATCAATTAATATCTTTGATGATAAAACGCTTAGGTGCGTTAAGTATTAAAACACAACACGCTTCCAGCAAACAATGCTCGTTAACAACGTGTGCCCCAATAGTGGAAACATTGCACTAATGTTTAATATATATGTATGGGTTTTGTGTATTACGCGATACTATCGCCCCATTGAGATTTTCCTGACATCACTACCATCTCCTCACCCAAATACATTTTATGAAATAATTTTACATTATCTTCCCGGTATTTCATTGTGTAATATATACACTGTACTGTTCTAGTCTCATTATTGCTGGATATATAGGATGGGTTGCATGTGATGCAGCGTGCACCGTGACAGGATAGCTCAACGGGGTGGGCGGTGCTTGCTTACTAACTGACATGTTCCATCACAAATGATGCGACTACTCGTGCGCTGTTATAACTTATTCTGCTACACCGTGGTGAATAGTACGTACGTACATCGATCTTCCTTACAACACACTGCTTAGTTAACATGAATCGACTCGCACCGTGAAGTCTAGAGCAAAACAATGAACTGATTTTCTATACATCGCATAGCAGTGCTGGCCGTGGATATTGTGGAGCTATGATTGCGGTATCGGCGTTTCATTGATGGAAAGCGGTTTCACTTGTTTGATGCGGTTACTTTATTTTGTGTCGACCATCCAAGCCAATTTGTATGCGAGTTGTAGTACATTAAGTATGGGTTATTTAAGAGCATATTGGTAGTTGTGCCTGTATCTCATCGCGATGACCAGCCCTGTTGATTCGCACATGCTTCGCGTGTTCTTCTATAACTATTCCACGGGTGTAAGGAACCTTAGCCTAAACGACTCTGACATTCATGCTCCGCCGCTGGTCGCCCTTATACCCCTGTGGCAGAAGGTCAGCATTGGCGTGGTACTTACTATAATGATCGGTTCAACATTATTGGGTAACGTGCTAGTTATTCTAGCTGTGGTGCTGGAAAAAAAACTGCGGACGTTCAATAACTATTTCTTCGCTTCCCTTGGAATGGCTGATCTGATCATAGCGACCATTGTCATGCCGTTGGCAATGTTGGTGCAGCTGAACGGTGGCGTGTGGTATTACGGCAAACGGACGTGTGACCTGTTTATATTTCTTGATGTCAGCTGTTGTACAGCTTCTATACTGAATCTATGTGCAATAAGTCTGAATCGCTACTGGTCTATAACCTCACCATTGAAATATGCCGCCAAACAGACTTGCCGGCGTGCTGCGGTTATGATCACCGTTGTGTGGGCAGCGTCGTTTCTCATCGCATGCCCTCCGCTGTTTGGTTGGCCGCAGCGATCACCGGCGCCTCACAGCTGCGAACACAATCAAAACTACATTTACATCTTCTACTCGTCCATGGGCTCGTTTTATATTCCCGTGATGGTGCTGACCATCGTTTACTGCCGAATTTACCGCGTCTCGAAGCGTGGCGCCAAGTTTCGGCGCGAGACTACTGTTCTCCCTTATATACACGGTTCGTCGAGTGCCAATTCTATGGGGAAGACAATCAAACTCCGACATATCAACTCGAAATTGTCCATGACAGACTATGAGACTTCGTACAAAAATGTGCTTCTATCTAAAAATAGGAAAGAAACAACAGACGGTAACCAAGGATTTAAAACGTGTAAAAGGATTGTGCGTAACAAAAAGGATCCGATTAAAAACGCTGAACGCAAAACTGCTAAAACACTGGGTAAGATAAAACATGTTTCATTTTCATAAATGATAATTCTTGTTTTCATTTATGACGTCTCACATTAATTCCAAATTGTCATGTTAATTTACAGTAAGTGGATTCCCGTTTAATTCTGGTGCGAATAGATTGCCGCGTCGTATTTGAACGTGGGTCGTCTACATCATGATCGCGAGTAAAATACATCGAAATTTAAACGCGCAAAGCGACGACCTAGCTAATGCTAAACCACGTTTTACATTGCTTTTGATTAAATACATTTTAATTTTTAGGTATTTTACTTTGGAATAAGTTAAATGTCAATGTTTGTGAAAGGTGTAACTTGTCATATATATATATATACATTCCAGTATTTTGTTGAATGACGTATGTGAAGTAATCTTACATGCATGAATTTTTTTTTTAATTTTTTTTTTACAAACCATCGCGTGTGGAGTACCACAGCTTGCCCGTGCAGAATGTATTCTAAAGAGATGAAGCATTGCACAGAAAATCACGTCTTTCAAATTTCCAAAGATTGTCAGGAAATTATTATAATACGCCCGAGGACACGGACATTGCGTTTCACAACGTGTGGGCGCTGGTAAACGTTTTTTAAACACGTTCCATGACTGGTTTCCAGTCAATTTGTTTTACAGACTGGCCTGTTATTCCGGGGCTTAGTACCGCCTGTTTTTCAAAACAAAAAAAAGACTCGAAATTGTACAATAATCTTACAAACCAAGAAGGGGAAATTGTTTCACGTTCAATTGGTTTTCAGATGCAAGCCGAATTTCATGACAGCGATAATCCTAGTTTGTTGTCAAGTGATGCGCGTCTAAGTCTAATGCGTTCTGACAAATAATTCATTATGATAAATGAAACAATTAAACCTCGAACTGCATTCTCTTGAGTTCTCATTTTGTTGCATATTAAAATTATTTCGCGTTTTGTATAACCAGGGGATTTGTATTTACAGATAGGATAATTACATCGTGTTTAATTACATTTCCCCTGCAATATTCTTATATATGTGATGGTTACCGCGCCACCAGGACGACTTGTACCCTCGCGGTATCTTAAATGTGATACCTCGTCTACCGGAATGTGTTTAACACCGATAACTGATACTATACCCAGTCGATGTTCAATTACATATTTACAAGTTCAAGAACACAAAACGCAGACAACATACTGAGACTCATATGGCAAAACATGGTCACGACCGAGAGAGACAAATTGAATGTAAATGGCAATACATGCCTGTCCTCTGTCTCGTGCATACATATCGGTGACGTGAATGTATTACGCAGTGCATTTTGGGTATTCATTTCATGTACTTGCCCTACTTGTCAAATTGTACTATTTGTAGAAATGACCTAATTCATGTAATTGGGTGTTTGATTGGGAAATAATCTCTGTTGAAACAAAAATAATTGATGACTTCTCAGTTTGGAGCGATATGGTTGTGTGAAAGATGATTGTCACGTGGCGCGTATTTTGCAAGCGTTGTATACGACGCATGGGACCCATATCGAAAAAGACGCGTAGCGGCGACCAACGCTCTTTAATCCACGTGGGATGCACCCTGGATGTTTGAACTCATGTGGAAATATAATAAAAGTGCCTTGTAAATCGAGTACCACGTCTCGTCGCACAGCGTGTTCCAATTTCGTATTTATTGTATATTACACGCGTAAGATACGTCGCGCGGGACCGACACGTAGTTTCGCGGCGGCTATGTCACTTGTTCTTAGTTTGACCCGTTGAATGTATTCAGTAACAGTTTGTTCCATACGGCACCACAATCCGTTTTCTAATCAATGAATAATTGCGACACTAATTAACCCATCAACGGCTTAAACAAACTTTGAGTGGCAAGGGAAATCGTATCCAGGGGATACAGACTAGGCATGTTGACATAGTTTTACTAAGTCGAGCTTTTTGTCAGTTTGTAAATGTCAATACCTACTCTGTGTTAATGTGAAACGCAATCTAATTTGAGGTGAGAAAGTATTGTGTTAGGCTCAGTAAAAGAGATCCAATTGCCAATTTAGAACTGCCCCTAATGTTTCGTGATCGCGTGCCATGTTCACATTTTTCCCTGTAACTAAGAAACGATAAACGACATCAAAATGCTATTATGATAATAAGTTAAGACGCAACGAAGCGCACCACAGTCGTCACGCAGCGCACCGAAGTCGCCTAGCAGCGCACCACAGTCGTCATGCAGCGCGCCACAGAACGCACCACAGTCGTCACTCGGCGCGTCACAGAACGCACCATAGTCGTCACGCAGCGCACCTTAGTCGTCACGCAGCGCATCACAGTCGTCTAGCAGCGCACCTTAGTCGTCACGCAGCGCATCACAGTAGTCACGGGCGTTCTAATTCCGTGTAAACAATGCATTTAAAACGCGTTGAATGCGAACACGGCGTGGCTCGGAGACTGTGGTACTTCAATTATTTTCTTCTGAAAATATAGTGAGTAAAAATGAAATGCATTTTTTAAAACAAATCTTTGATCAAAAAATGATATTCTGATCATCATTGTTATTTATTTACACGATGAGTTCAAAGACGCTCACGTCGAGGCGTATTAAGTGCTAGAACATGTACACGGTACTTAGCGACGTAGTTGACATTTTAACTTTGATGTCGTGGTAGTCAAAGATAACGTAGTATCATTTCACGCTAATGAAAACTGACAGCTTACCAGAGGTTCGTGTGTCTTCGCTCTGGTTAGTAGTGAATACCGCGCCGCTCACACATCTTGTTTAAATTAAGACATGCTGTGTACACATCAGTGAGTAACTTGGACACAACAGGGTACAACGATTTGTTGATATATGAATTTTATCTGAATTATTAATTTAGGGGGCACTGGACCGGGACCGCGTCTTCTACATTTTTTCCGATATTGGGGGCACTGTAACTTCTTGCACAAAACTGTCTCTCATTAAGATGCCGGCAATCGTTTCTGAAATTATTTAAAGAAGACTGCAATTGTCATAGCAACCGTCTGGCCGTAACGGAAGGCATGTACCCTGGCATGTATGTAGGAGGGGAGATGTATTGTTAGTTTAGCAAATTCCAGGGCGTTCTGCTAGTACAATAATCAATCTGGTATCGTCTTATTTTCCATTTTTGTTTGCATATGAAATGAACACAACTATCACGTGGATAATCCACAGTATGCTGTTACGTCATTGTCCACTAAGTCGTGTTAATGTTAGTTTGCCATGAAAGCGAACGGGAATGGAAATGTATCACGTAGCGACACGTGCTGTGTCTCCGTATATTGGTTTAGTATTCACAAACAGAGTACTTGTACACGAATCAAAAAATGTTAGAAGAATACAAATTGTTGCGTATCTTTTTATAAATATATATATTTTCTACCTTCCTTATTAATATAAATGTTACGAATCATTCAGAACACGCCCTATCTGACATTCACGTAACGCAAGCCTTAGTTTTAAACGAATCGGACGTAATAACAGATCGCATGTTTCCGTCCACACGTAATTACACTGTAACTAACGAGAATTTCCGATACGATTCACTCTTCTCGTGGAGGTAACTAAATCACATGAACTAATGTTCTATTATCGGGGTAATTTGTGATTCTTGCGAATGCCCCACAGGAGATAGACAGGATAGCTTCCTAAAATAGAACACAGTTGGTGAATGTACCACGTGACTGCAAACTTACTTCCACGACGCTGATTTGTGTCTGATAATAAAAATTTGTTTCAGCATTACTCGTTACCTATGGTGGGTAAATCGTCATGTATTTTAGTGAGTTTTCCTTTAGTTTCGAGGATTTTATACTCAAAACACAGTATTGTAATATTCTTGAACGTTTAGCATAATATTCACGTACTATCAACCACTTTATATATATTTTATTTTGAAAAATTCACTCAGTTCAAAATAAATTAATAATGAAAATTCAAATCGATTCTATTTGTATTCACTATCCGTGACTTGTTACATGTTTCTTTTTTGAGCCTATTTTCAATCTACCAGGTAGTTTTCCCTCAATTTTACTCAATTGTGTTTTTGACCAAGATGTCGGGTGTATTCGTTTGACGTCGGGTGCATTTGTGCGATGTCGGGTGTATTCGTATGGTGTCGGTTGTAATTGTCCGGGTAAATGTGTAAAATCAACTACTTTAAGACAACTAGCTCACACAGAATACTAGGAACGGCCATGCAAATCACTCATCCTATCTGCCACACTGATCAATGGTTTCTTGTAGTCTGAAAGAAACAATCGTTTTAGACTACCTTATTGATTGTATTGCTGTCAACTCCAGCATACGGATTAGCGACGATAAGTACAGTTCAATGTCTCAGTCTTCAGAATGATTTTAGCTTTGTAAAAAAAGTCCTGTCTTAGTTGTATTAGTTGTATCCGCACTATTAAATAGAGTTCATAACGATGGCGTGGCTTCCCTTGCAATGAATTACATCACAGAACTGCTTTGTTGGTAGAGGGCGCTAACGCTGCATTATCCAAATATGAACCCCTGATTAGTATCATCAACCTATATGCGTCTACGAACCATGTCAAGGTCATGGATTTAATACGGAATTGATAAACGTACTTTGAGTAGGCTGTAAACTAGGCTCTATCGATGTCCACTCTAAACTGTAAGCTTTCTCATATCGCACCTCTTGTAACAGTTCAAGTACTCATCAAAAGTCCATTAGTGACAAAATGTGCGCATATTTTGGCATTTTTTATTATAATTCGTCGACGGGGGTTGATAAAACACTTGCATATTGGCTTTGACCATCGCAGTTGGATATTTTCCAACTGGCCAATGTTACCATCATAAACAAAGACCGAACTTATAGCGAAGCAATATTTATTGAAATAACAAGATCGGATAACGTAGGTTAGGTGGTATTTTACGGTAGATCTCTATTCGGGTGATGATATCGGATAGACAAAGGATGGAGTACAATGTTTGCTTTTGAGCGTTGGCAAAGAAGTCAAGCCCGGAGACCAACGTCATATGCTTCTCAAGCCAAGTATGAGT